AAGGGAAATTTGAAGACACACGACACACAGGGAGAACCCCATGTGAAAATCAAGCCAGAGACTGAGGTAACGCTTCCACAAGCAGAGATTGCCAGCAAACCACCAGAAGCCAGGAAAGAGGATTCAGTTCTCCGTCACCGTGCTTAGAAGGAACCAACCCCACTAACAGCTTGATCCCTGACTTCTAACCTCCGGAAACAGTACACTTCTGCTGCTTGAGGCTCTCTGTATGTGGCGCTTTGTGACGCCAGCCCCAGCGAATGAATATACTCACGGACTTCAGGTGATGAGAGTCTTCTCAACATTCAGTCCCTGGGTGATCTCACTCTTTTGTGACTTTAAATCCCATCTACGCACTGAAGGCTCTCAGTAGTTTATCTCCAACCCAGGGTCTCCTCAACTCCTCACAGTTTTCCCCAACTCTACACAACATCAGATTTAATCCATCCAAAACAGCCCTCATCCTCACCAGGAACCCCCTTACCCACAGTGTTCTTCACCTCACTTAATGGAAACTTCATCCTTCAAGTTGCACAAGTCGTTTACCTTGGAACCATTCTGGACTTTTCTCTTTCATATCTTCCATTTATCAGCGAAAAGCTTGATTCTCCTTTTGAAATGTATTCAGACCACTTCTCACCACCTGCATTGCTGGTGCCCTGGTAGCCATATTGTCTCTCCCATGATTCATAGCAGCGGTCTCCTCATGTGTCTCCATCTTCCATCCTTAGCCCGCTTTCACCCTCCTCCCAGTATAGCAGTCAGATTGATTGTGACAACATGCATTTCAGAAAATCCAAACTTCTGCATTATTTCTTCCTCTCACTCCTCAAGCCCTTAACAGTGGCCTGTGAGGCCTCACAAGTTCTGTGCTGTGTGCGTAGTCGCTCAGTCATGTCCGACTCTTTTCGACCCCATGGACTGTACCCTCGCAGGCTCCTCAGTCCATGGGGATTCTCCAGGCAAGAGTACTGGCATAGGTTGCCATTGTCTCCTCCAGGAGATCTTCCCAACTTAGGGATGGATCCCAGGGCTCCCACATTGCAGGCGGATTCTTTACCAACTGAACCACCAAGGAAGCAACACAAGTTCTAGTCTTTGGTAACACCTTTGACCCTGTCTCCTCCTCGGTCCTTGTCCAGCTCATACTGTTTGGGGCGTCCTGCCTTCCTGCTGTTCAGATGTGCCAGACTGTTCCCTCACTTGCTCTCGATCTTGCTTCTGCCTAGAACACTCAACTCCCAGATATCCTCCTGGTACATCACAGTCGTTCAGCAAACGTCTCTTGAAGGAATAGGGAGTCAATTGAGAAGATTCATATTAATGAGATAAAATCAAAACTCTTTAGGGAATTCTCTGGCAGCCCAGTGTTTAGGGCTCCACGTTTTCACTGCCAAGGGCCTGGGTTTGATCAAGAAAATACATAGATAAAATAAAACTCTAGATTCACATTCAAATTGCACTTCAGTGATGCCCAACTTTGATCTTTATAAGCTTCTTGTGTGCAAATAGCATCTAGAAGTTTTCTGTTTTCCCTGCAGTGAGCGATTTGCATAGAAAAGTCACTTAACAAAGACCTATAATTTGTGAAATCAGATATGAAGGAAAGGTACAGTTAGTCCAATCCATTTCAATTGGTATAAACTATTTTCCAATTACTAGTAATTCTAGACTAGTCTCTCCCCATGTAGCCATTTGTTCTAATTGTAGCAAATGAAACTGAGTAAGGTTTTGCCTGTAATGAGGATGATTCTTCATTAATAGTTAGGGGCTACCTGATTCTACCTAACCTGATTTTCCTTGCCATTTCTTTAAGCCTTTTTGGTGAGAATTTAAGATGCATAGCCTGGGATTTTTAAAAAATCCGTGCATGGACATATCTTTTTTTTTTCTTTTTTTCTTTTGTTTTATCATTTTTTGGGGGCTTTTATAGTTGTTGTTGCTGTTTAGTAGCTCAGTCATGTCTGACTGTTTGCAACCCCATGGACTGTAACCCACCGGCTTCCCTGTCCATGGAATTCTCCAGGCAAGAGTACTGGAGTGGATTGCCGTGCCCTCCTCCAGAGAGGAGGAGTTATAGTTTTAGAGTTTATAGAGTTATAGAGGAGGGATTTATAGTTTAGAAACTTGACTTTTCACTGAGCTCATGATCTTCCAGAAAAAAAGAAAATTCCCAGCCTCTTTTGCAAATGACTGTGACTGTAACACTAAAAGGAATATTAATGTAAGATATCAGTTAAGAGAGAATCAGCATGCACTCTTTTTTCCCTTTTCTTCTATGCCTCTTCCTCCATCCTGCTGCCTAAAATGCAGGTGTGATGGCTGGAACCCTAGCTGCAATTTTGGATAATGAGGAAATGGGCTATGTCCTAGAAAATGAGGGGTGAGCTAGAAGCGGTTTAGATTACTGAGGGACTCATGGAGCAGATCCATCATGCTAACCCTTGACATTTTACTTCTGGCCTTGTGTTAGAAAGAAATTTCTCTCTTACTTAAGTCACAGTTATTTTAGAACACACCCAAAGTCAAATATAATTCTACCCTAAACATCACCAAAACTATTTAGTTCCTGGAACTTTGGAGCTACAACAAATTACTGCAAAGAATCAAAACAACAGAAAGTGCCTGCAATGATAATCAAAGGTCTTTATTTTCTATATTTAATTTCTTACAATCATTTTGGAAAAATAGTTGTTTCTCCAAATGTACTTTCACTGAAGAAAGCTGATATGACCTAAGCATTATCTGAGAGACAATGGAAAAAATATTTATCACTGAAAAACAAGTGTTCTGTTCAGTTTACACGTTACACATACTTAACACAAGCATAAAGGAAAAGTTCAGTGTCAGAAATAGAGGCCATTCTCCTTAACTGAAACATTCGATCAGAAGAGTATTTGGCAATTAGAGATTCAAATTTGAAAGATTTAAAAATCTCATTCAAAATAAATGCTGCCCAAGAATACAGAAACACACAACATTTTCTGAAAATCTTTTTTTTAAAGAATTTTTTTTATCTTTGCTTTTGGTATTCTCTTAGACACTCTGAAACTTATTTAACACAGCATTCTATCTGCTCAACATTCAAATTTAGATGTGCTGATTATCTCCTCCACTCTTCTGCATAGTTAAGTATGTCCTATAAATAAACACATCAATTTTGCTCGATTACTATCCTTCCAAAAAGCCTCATATAATTGGAATTAACCTAGTATTAACTTATCATTAAATATATTTTTATTAGAAAGGATGCACAGCACATGAAATCACAGAATTCTCATAAGTTAAAGACAAATTTCAGAACTCACAAATAATATTTACAATGTAAACATCACAGTTATTACATCAGAGTAAAATAAATCACAACATTCACAACACAATGTATTTTATTTGGTTTTGATATTGAAGTAGTTTTCTTGAATTACTTATGTAGAACTCAAAATAAATTACTTCACTTATTGTTTTTCTTCAAGAATTCTGAAAAAGAAAGAATTGGTGTTTTAAGCATAAAATCATTTTTATTTACAGCCTCTGACTTTCATTTACTGATCCACTCATTTAATAAATATTTCTCTTTGCACTTGATCAGCAGCTTTAGAAAGGGGATCACGTTTTGGAATATCAAGAGGGACTCTTCCAAGGAAACTATTGTTGGGAAGGGAGCCAGAATGTGAAGGGGTTCTCTAATTAGTCATAAATAATTACTTATTTGTAATTTTCAGAATTGGCTGACCAGCAAAACTTGCTGTTAAAAGAATTTGTCCAATGTCACCCATTCAAAAGAGCAAAAAAAGGAGGTTGGACTCTCACAAGGGGACAGAGTAATGTTATATTGTTGTGCCTATTGTATTTCTTAATTTAATGGAAAATTCTTATTTGATAAACTTCATTGAGAATCTGTATGTAACTCTCTTTTTTGAGCATTCAAGGAGTTTGTTTCTCTGAATGTCTATGCATGATGAGGAATGGGACCCTGCAGCACCCTTGACCACATATCTCTCTTACAGGGATCTTTCATGCTACAATAGCAGAGTTGAGCAGGTGTTCCAGAAACTGTAGAATACACAAACCCAAAAATTTGTCCTCAGAGTCCTTTAGAGAAAAATTGTGACAACTTGATATAGTGATGCTACAACATTTCTTTAAAGACTTGCCAAGCATTATAAAAATATTTTATGAGCTACTGTAAACATTAATGTAACTCAGGAAAGAAATATGCCTTGTGTCCATGTTCACACAAAAATAATTTTGATAACAATCTTATCAACTTAGCAAAGAAAAAGATCTATTTGTGTTTTCTCTACTCCAAATATGTTTTACAGTGGATATTACTAGAGTCGTAGTATCTACACTCCCTTTATAGATAAAATAAACTAAATTTGATTTTTGCTCCATGAAGTTTACTATGTTTCAAGAAATACAATATCTGTTGTTAACCTGAAGCTATCACAACTTTGTTAATCAGCTATACCCCAATACAAAATAAAAAGTTAAAAAAAGAAACAAAGAGACCCAGGGTGTCTTGGTATCTTCCAATAACAAGCCACACTGTAATTTGGTAGTATTTCCTTATACTTAAATGAGATGTTAACAGTCAATTGTGAGACTAGATTTTAATAAAAGCAACATGGCTTTACTATCCAAGAGAAAGCCAGTTTTTCTCAGTAGTGCGATTCAATCTCCTTTTTCAATATTTCTTCAAAAGGACAGGAATGAGTCTGAGCAAAGTAGGAGGTACTGACCTGTTTACTCACTGTGAGCTGTCTTTTTCATGCTATCAGAACACTGCATGAATTGTTTCAAGCTCTACTAAGCTGTGGTCCACTTAGGTAGAAGCATCCTTCTTAGATAAGGTCTCGCTGGGAGAACATTATGATGTTTTTTACCAAGTGACTCCTACCCACTTAAATATTGAGATGGTTGCTACTAGCTTATAAGAACACACAGATATACTCACCACTGGGAAGTTGTCAGCAGCTTTGCTCCAAAGAGCTTTCTCATCATTTTTCTAACTCTTCAAGAAAGTCAGGAGACTCTCCTTCACTGCTGCAGATCAGAAAGAGAGAACTGTGCTTGTGAAGGCTCTTGGATGAGAAAGCTTCTAAAGAAGAGCTGATGCGTGGCCTAGGCAGGACAGGGTGCTCAGATAAGGGCTCTGGGGGCTAAACACCTTTGTTTCAGGTGAGTCATTACCTATGACAGGCTCTTCAGTCTTAAATTGTCTAAAAGCTTTCTTAAAGAATTATAATCTGGTGGCCAAAGCGATCCATCTTGCTTCATCTCACCCAAATAGAGTTGTCTTGTGTACTCCCCATCTAAACAAAAATAACTGGAATAAAAGAGAAAGGATCGCATTTCCTATATATTGTGTTCCAATATTTACATACCATGGAAAGACACAGGTTTTACTGAATCCGAGAAGACAAAATAATTCATGGTTCAATTTGGTAAAATAGATAATTGAATTTGGAGGTAAAAAGGGAATTCCATGTGGTAACAAATTGCTAGCTGACTGCCCTTCACATGTTTTAAAAAGCTGCACTTTTGATAAAACCTGTTCCTAGACCCAGACCAGGTGTCTTTACAGTGATCATTTTTAACCCTGGAGGCACATTAGCATCAACTGGAGAACTCAAAAGATACCTGTGTCCACAGCCACATGCCTAAGGACACTAATTTCCTGGCAGTTGGTTTTGGGTTAGGGTCAGACATCAATATTTTTTATATTCTCCAGGGTAATCTAATGTTAGCTAAGGTTGAGAATTACTGCTTCAAAGGTAGAGAGAGAGATATGTCTCCATATGCAACTACTATTTTGAAAGTCAGTTATAATTTCTCATGTTAGCAGGTTCTCATTTCTTTACCTTCGCTTTCCATTTAGAATAGAGTTCAGGTATTTCTTCACAGCCATTTGTTTCCGAAGGCGTGTGTAGTTGTCAGTGAAGACAGCATCTGAGTGGCGTTTAATTGGTCCCTGGTCTTCTGAGATGCTATTGCTAAGAAACATGAGGATAAGGAAGTCAAATAATAATTTCTTGGAGCCAGATAAAAAGGAATTCCAACACCCAACTCATTTTCTATCACCAAAAAAACTGAAAGAAAAAAGCATCTAAGCCTAAAGAGGGGGGAGCATGGAATAATTCAATGTACTTTGACCTTTACTAGGGTGCCTTTAGACATTCTGTCCTAACTGAGCAAATAATTTATTAAAAAAAAGTTGAGGAACTAATTGAAATTGTGTTCTTCCATTGGAAGAAGGAGTTCTTTAAAAGTAAACGCTTCTTAAAAACATAAATAAATGCTTCTTCATGAAGAGATGCCAATTTAAGTAATGCCATCTAAAATTCAGTTATTAACTATTTAAAGACAAAATCTTCCAATGCTTAGTTTGAGCAGGAAGTAAAATACAAATGCTATGGTTAGCCTTAAAATTTGCTTCAGTTTAGAATATGTCTTATTTTGTTTTTACTGTGTCTAGTTTAGTTTGTTTGCCAATTTATAAATGATTATTATTTAAGAAAAATAAATGTGTCTGGAGCCTATGAATATGATATTACTAGGAAACCTTATTTTCTTAATTCACAGGTCTAGTATATTTTATTGAAGTATATAAATTATTTTATAATGAAATTAAACATTATCAAGAGTTATCAGTTTTGAATAAAATAAATAAGTTGCTTACAGTGAAGATATAATTGTCCAATTTAATAACCATAGCATGTTTTTTAATAGTAATAAATTCTCTTTACCTAACTCGTTTTCCAATAAGGGACTCAAGGTACTTTTTGGCAGAAAGTTGACCCAAGAGTCTACTATAGTCACTGGTAAAAACTCCATCAGCATGTCTGACATTTCTGAAACAAGGAAAAAAGGATAGTCATTATTTTGTAAATAGTTTGCTAAAAGATTATTTTGGCTCATTAAATAAAAAGGAAACATCAACTTATTTGATAGCTTCTCATTCAAACTTAAGTCCAAAAGGAAGTTTTTAAACAACTGAATAAATAATATATTCTGGTGACTTATTTCCAGCCCCAAATTTTGAAAAATTGAAGAAATTAGCTTTTTAAGGAGCATATCTCAATATTAATGCTCCCTGGTAGAATCTGTAAAACTAATTATTTTCTATGAAATATTGGTGGGAAGATATATTTAGTTTCTATTTATTCATGGTGATTTATTTCTTCTACTCTGAATAAAGATATATGCAAGGGGAAATTATTCTGATTTTAGCAAACCTTATTATCCCTTTTGCTATTTCTTCTGCCGAAAGGTTGTAAACAAAATCTCTTAAGATAGAAAGACTCTAAAAGTCTATCAACCAAATTTTCCATCCAAATGAAAAATACTTCATGGTTTGCCTTCTGGATAGAGTTACTCTGTCTATACTGGAATGTTGCTCTGGACAATATTCTATGAAATGAATGGCTTTTATTATTAGACACCCTTTCTTTACATAGAAGTGAAACTCTAACCTTAGAACTTTTTCCATCATGGATTCTCAAATGCTGTAGTTTTACTACAGTTGACATAATTTCTGATGTTAAAAATTTATGAAACAGAGTACAGGTGGATGACTTGCTTAGCTTGGCCTGTTACAGTCTCTCCAAGTAAAAATCACGCAAGCATCAAGAGTTTCAATAAATCAGGCTGAATGAAGCCACAACACATGGAAACTCATAGTGCAATGCTATGAGAATAGCTTCATAGTGACACAAAAATAAAATGTTTAGATTTTTAAAAAGTATTTGCTAAAATAAAACTCAATAAAAATGAACTCACCTGGATACATCATAATAAGGTGTGTCATTTTCAGCTAATGCCTCTTGTAAAATGTCAGTGTCTGCTTTTAACGAAACTTGATCAGGTTCATTTGCTCCTTCAAATGGTATTCTGTCCCCCATCCTGGTAGGAAAAGATACAGTCAAGTAAAATACATTCCTTTCTCAGAAGCTGGTGCTTACAGCTTAACTGTCATTTGAGATAAGATACTCAAAATCTTAGGAAATATCACCCACTCATAATATATGGATGGCAAAATTGAATTAATGGCTTCCATGGTTTATGAAAATGTAAATAGTAAAATTCTTATTTATCCCATTAAACAGATGCCATACAACTTTTACAAGCTGTATGTAATAAAAGTTAGAGCTACTTAGCCTAGTTTTTCAGAACATTAAGCAAAGTACACTTCCTTGGCAATAAGTAAGTAGCTTCACTTTGCAAAGTACACAGGTAGAAAGATCTTACACAAAATAGAAACTTTGGAAATTTTTTTATATTCAATATGAAAATTGCAAGCAACTCACATATTTCTTGATGGCCAATATCATGTGTCTCAACATTTCTCAAGATTTGAATATTAACTATTTTTCTTTCTCTGAGTCCGTAAATTTTACTTCAAAGGTTCACTTTGGTGTGGTGCATTTCTATGTATTGACCAAGTCCAAAGACTCTCCTCATCTCTGAATAGTCATTCAAACTCAGTGAATTTTGTTTTCAATTTTACATAGGAGCACAATTTTAATAAAGGATATACAATGCTTTACTGGAAGACTAAGAATTGTCCTGCCTCTACATGGACTATGTGGGTGCATGCACATTTTGAACCCCAGCACACTTAAAATTATGTGTGTGCATGTTTTCACTGTTAGCCTATTAAGAACTGTGTTGGCTGCTGGGCACTTGTGTATCTTTGGGTGAGGCAGTTCTTGGTAGTCAGGAACAAGCAACCCTCTTTAAGAGTGAAGCTTAGCAATTAATGTAAGCTCCAGCATTCTTGAGATTATTCATCTCTTTTGATATAACTATTCAGATAGACTAGTTCTATTTAATTATCAAAGCAACATACAATCTGGCTTTAAGCAAATTTCACAGAACACCACTAATAGCTAAGAGATTATTCACTCTATTGAGCATATGTCTACTTGAACAAAGAATTGGAAATGAGAAAATAAGCAAAGACATGTAAACTGGAAAGAAAAATAAAACTAATGTAGTTTCCTTTTACTGTTTCCTTCTTTAGCATAAAGTTATCTCAATTAAAGCTTTAAAGGTGAGTTGTATTATATGAATTTGAAATATGAAATGCAATGTAGAGAGCAGTAAAACTAAGGATTTATGGTAAAAACCAAGTACCTTAAAGTTCACTCCTTGGGGAAGGGTGACTCAGTAGATTAATTATCTCACAATTTTTAATATTTACAAGTTGATTCTGCCTAGATAGTCTGTCCAACATGATTTTATACATATTCCACTTATCAACTGTTCATGATTATTTGCTGATTGATCTCGAAAAATGAACTCAAATGAAGTGGGCAACTAGACACCTATTTTTCTATCAGAAACTGAACTGAACTGAGGTGACGATGGAGAAGAGCTAATTACTCACCTGAAACTGGTTTGAATGAAAGGAAATCCAAGCCCCCTTTCTGCCTTGCTAGAAAAGGTGGTCCATCTTACCCATAAAACTAGTCATCAACACTGTCTCTCTGGCCCTGAGAGTGAATTCCAAAACAGAACAATCATGCTGCCCTGAAGTTGAAAAAACTTGCTTAACAAGTCAACCAACAGATTTGAATAACTAATACATAATTTGCAAAACTGAGCTGTCTGAAATAACATATCAGAAATTCCCATTTACGTGGAGGAGGAATGTTCAACTGCCTGAATTGAAAGAGAGCCTACCTCAGAGCTGAAGGTGCTCCAAAAAGAGGCCACGCCAAGGTCTGGGAGAAGAGCACGCTGAACAGTGTCAGGAACACAAGAAGCTGGCGCTTACTTCTTGTTTCCATCTCAGGACCTGGAAGGGGAGACAATCACAGCTGTCTTTTCCAGCCACAGCTGTGCCAGAAAGGCAACTCTGTGTGTTTATCAGTAATTCCTGAGGAATCATGAAGAGTTTAGAAAAAGCGATTTACATCTTACAGAAAGTCTTAAGTTGCAATATGATTATTTTTTAAATCAAGAAGGTCTTTGGGTGTGTGAACAGTGCTTGAGTAAAGATTAGGATCCTTTCAACTTCTGCCTATCTCTCACTAGGCACAAGATTGAATGCAATACTTTTATAGTACTGGAAGCAACCATAAGGGCAATTTTCTTATTATAACAGAGTTGTAACATCCATGTTTAGTATATTTTCTAACTATGAAGCAGCTTCAAAAAACTGATGTTTCTTCTTCTACTCTGTTTTTAGTACCTGAGTAATAGAAAAGTGGAGTGTCATGTATTTAATAATTTGTGTATATAGGTATATATATACCAATACATAGATACATATCAGTAAAATTATTTTGTATATACATTTTTCCTCTTTTGACTATAGATTTTACTGGGAGCTTAATCTCCTTAAGGAATTTGGGTCTGAACAAACTGATTCAATTAGTAGTGTAAATTAATACCAAAAAATCACTGAGGTTCATATTTCCACCAAAATAATTTCTGCCATAAAAGGAAAAATACATCAAAAACATCTCATTTACTTACACATTTCATTTGTAAATAGGGTGCAGATAGAAACTTCAGAGTTTGATGTCTGTTTCTTGTGCTGTTTGTAAGACTCACAGCATTTAAACTCAGAAGAAAATAAATGTTTTGTAAGTTCACATAATTAACAAATGAAATGGAAAGAACAACACTAAGTAACAAGTTGAAACTTTCAGTACATATGTACCCACTGAACTTTCAGTTAAAAATTTATATACAAGCAAAAAAACAGAAAACCCCACTTGAAGGCATTATTTTAAAGTTGGCATTGAGTAAAAAAGCAATCAGAGTGAAGCATTTTCCAACTAAAGAATTCAGAAAACCCCTTCATATGTGAGACGTTGAGGCATTTCTATACTTACCAGGTGACTTGAGAAACTTGCCTTTTTATTGTTGTAAAGAAGGAATACTGTAAAGTTATTTTTCAAGAGAAATAAAAGCTCAATATATCCAGAGAAAAGTTCCAGAGTCAGGGGGAGAAAGAAAGAAGAAAGGTCAAGTTTTCACTTACTTTGCCGAGTCGTGGTCTTTGAGAGCTGTCTGTTCTGAGGCTGTGAGCGCTGTCTCAGGTGCTGAAGTCCTCGGAGTCGGTCTTCGAGTTCTCTTGCCCTCCAAGCAGAACCAGAACTTGGTGCTGGCTGAGGTTGGCTACTGTTGCCAGCAACTGCTTCTCACTCTACCCTGACCAGCATTTCAAGCCCATCATTTTATAGGGCTTATGCGTTGGGCTGAGCAATCACACAGCTCTCGGAAAGACGTCACACTAGTACTCTCATGGGATGAATAGGACTCGAAGTTCTTATTAAATTGTCATTATGCTTGATTTATATAAATTTAGAGTGAGTAACTTCAAGATGTAAGATATAAAGAGGAAATTTACTTTTCTCTAAACAGAAAAAGGTACTGAGCTTCATGTGAAATATTTTCATCTCTAATTAGTAGTAATGAAATAAAAGACTGATTAGTATTATGCCCAGGGCCACTGGGAATGCCTTTAGAAAATAAGAATTTTATGTGTAGGAACAGATGCAGAAAGCAACTTAGGCTCATGGGCTTACCAGTGTATAATTCTCCTTTATTACAAGGCATCAATTGCCCTAAAGCTTTTTTATTTTTATACTATTCATATAGACTCTGACTTAAACTTTTCTGAGATCTGTCTTAATTGTAAAATCACCAGAAATAACTTTCTATATTCTATTGTTACATTTTCCTTATATTGAAACTAATCCCTGGATAAATTTTCAAAAAGCCTCTAAGATAGTGTAATATGGACACTGTTGCATAGAATAGTAGCAGTACTACTGTTTCACATTGGTAGAAAATGTCATCATTCCTAATGCATTTTCACACACATGATCTCAAATGATACAAAAAACTTAATAAATTATCATACTAGATAGCCCCAAAGGGTCATTTTTTCTTTCTTTTTAAAAGTCATACTCATCCATTTTTTAAGTTCTTGCCCCGTGTGGAATTTTATGTATCCCTGAACATAGACCAACATCCATAGCAGCTTATAACATTTCCAACTCAGTCACTTGACAGGTGATTTCAAAGAACTGGTTGGAAAGCCTTTATGGAGTACTTTGACAAGTACTTAATTTCTATTTGTGGGTTTCTAATTCAAAGTAGCCTAGTATACATTCAATCAGAGTTTAAGATTAAAAATACAGAAGCCTGAACAACTTCATGGACAACAAAGTAAAATGCTATCCTTCCTTTTACTTAAAAAAAAATGGCTGGGATATGTATTTTTACATTTTTCTTTGTAAGTTCCGGAGGGAAGGGGTAACAGCCTGAAGCCCCGTTTCCTTCTACTTTACGATTTCAATATCTATTTGCTTCATTCAAATCCAGTAAAAGAATATCCTGCTATGCTTCATCATATTTTCTAACCCAGTTACAAGAAAAATTAAATGAATTAAATTTCAAAATGTCTGGAAATTTGTTTCCCAGTTGACAGCTCTGACTTAAGCCAGAGTTCCTGTGGCTTAATTCCAGGAAATCTTTTTTTACCTGATGGTTACAAGCTAGAGGTTGACATTATTCTCATATGGAACATTTTTATCTTTAGCTTTTCGTCACCTAATTCCCAGTGAAGCAATTTTATTTAAGAACAGCAACAGCAAAATACATTGATTGAGAGTCACAAGAAGTCCAATGCTGAAGGTAAGCAGAAAAAAACCTAAAAGTAAAAAAACATAAAAGTTTTTTTATTACTTGGTCTAAGCAAGCACTTAGCATTCACACAGAGTACCTACAGTAAGTTTTCCAATTGTGAAGAAAGTTTCTCCAATTATAACAATAAATTATAATAATAAAACACAAAATAGAATTAATTCAATCTTATCACCTCTGAATAAAAGTAAACTAAATCAAAGAACTGCATTTTCTCCTATGAATTCAAATAGAAAGCAAAACTGAATTTCAAAATGGCATCATAGCACCATCTGCAGGTTCATAAGTCTTAAATCACAGATTTTTTTAAAAATGTGTGGGGTTTTTTTTCTCTTTTCTTTAAGGAAATAGATGTAAACCAGAGGTCTTTTATCCAGCTAAACCACAGAATTTTCCAGAAAAATAACCATGTGAAAAAATATTGTAGCTGAGTTTATTCTGAACACTTTGTTACTATAAAATTTAGTGAACACAAAACTACAAATATGAATTTACTGTTTAAATCTGCTTTCCCTCCTACTTTGGCATATCTTTCCATAATGTTCCCACATCTCTAGTAGAATTTATTCCTTACCTAAGACTTTTCATTAAAATGATATTATAAAAAGAACAATTAGCATACAACAGGTTCATTTCAATGCCTGAAAGTAAGGGGATGTTTACATTTTTAAAAGGCTGAAAAATATTAAAAGAAGAAAAATGCTTTGTTACAGTTGAAAATTATATGAAACAAAATTTCAGTGCTCATCAATGAAGTTTTATTGGAACACAGAAATACTCGTCAAATATGTATTGTCTGTGGCTGCTTTTGTGATACAATGGCCAAGCTATGTAGTTGTGACAGAGACTGTATAGCCTGCAAGACCTAAAATGTTTACTATTTGACCCTTCACAAATAAGCTTTGTGGACATCTGGTCTAGAGCCTCCTGTTAAGGAAGATATTTAAGAAGTCATGTTAAACTTAGTATTCTTAAATCCTTTAGATCTCAATAACTTGTATTGGTTCCAAATATATACATGTATAGGTGTATATTGGAGAAGGAAATGGCAACCCACTCCAGTACTCTTGCCTGGAGAATCCCATGGAGGGAGGAGCCTGGTGGGCTACAGTCCATGGGGTCACAAAGAGTCGGACATGACTGAGCTACTTCACTTTAGGTATCTATCTATATACTTTTAATATACACTATGGATAATGTGGCTTCCCTGGTGACTCAGATGGTAAAGAATCTGCCTGCAATGCGGGAGACCTGGGTTTGATCCTTGGCTTGGGAAGATCCCCCAGAGAAGAGATCAGTTACCCACTCCAGTACCCTGGCTTGAAGAATTCCATGGACAGAGGAGCCTGGCAGGCTACTACGGTCCATGGGTTGCAAAGAGTCAGACACGACTGAGTGACTTTCACTTTCTTGGGTAATATGTATGTATGTGTATACCTACGTGCAATGTGCGTAATGTATACATATATCAAGAGCCTCCCTCTGCTGGATATTCTCAAGTTGCCCTTTTGCATCTGTTCTCTGCTCCACTACACTCTGCTTTTTGTGCCTTTGAAGTTGGACCTCGGGATTCATTATGCTCTGTGGTCCTCTGGCTTCTGATTGGATTTAGCCAAAGGGAGGCACTAGTAGGAAACTAAGGGAGCAAAGATTAGAGAAACAAGGGTTCTCAATATTTATTCTCCATAAGCCATAGTTTGGAAGAGACTACATTCCTCTCTCAAGACCCAGAATCTGTACAGTGGCCCCTCTCCTGAAGACCTAACAGGTACCAAAAGCTCTGGGGCTGAGGTTATTCCATGGGTCCTTTGCGACCTCGTTAGTTCTCAATATATTTATTAAATTCTCCTCAATCCTTATTAAACTCTATGATATCTTTATGAAACTCTGTTCATCTAACCTCTGGAGAGAGCCATGTATCTCCTGCTTAGACCGTATGTCATGTGTTGCCACTCCTAAACCCAAGCTCACACTTCTAAGAGTAATTGGAGACACTGAATTTTAGGATTCAGTAGCTTTAGAAAATAAAATCTGTCATCATTTCCACTTTTTCAGTGACATATTTTATTTCCTTGGACTCCAAAACCAATGCAAATGGTGACTACAGCCACAAAACTAAAAGATGCTT